ATTTTGAGAATTTTGAGCACTAAACATGAAGCGGGTCCACATGGCACAATACAGTGCTGTGCAGAGAAAAGGGGAAGCTAGTTGAAAGCAATGCTATGCATTTTTAAGAAGCTAGTTGGGGGTTTAGTGTGGAGAAAAGGCAGTAGAGAGAGAAATAGTGATTCAAAGGCTGAAGGAATTTTTGAACACATGGATATAAGCTTTCAAAAAGCATGAAGCTTTATGCCTTTATGTTATATTTCTGCAATATCTGAATTGAACCAATAGTAATCAAACTAGTTTAGTACCATACAAATGGTAGTTGCTAGAATGATTGGTCATTACCAGAAGATGTTCAGTAGATAATATCACCTATGCCTTATTATGCAGACATTAATCATACCTGTTGCTTCACTGTAATCTAATGCAGTCTTCGATAGCCATTACAATAAAGTTCAGGTATTTCTCCTCAGAGAAATACCTAGGTCTATTTAACTAGAACAAAACTTCAGACTGTTAAAAATAATAAAGAAAAAGAACAAAAAAAGAAAAGAAAAAAAGAAGAAAAAATTAACTTCTCTGGTTTCCTATTCCAGACTAAAATACAGAAAAAATACTTTCAAAGCAGGTATTTGTTAGACATTCTTACATGACTGTTTAGTACATATCTTTATTTCATCACCTGGTTTCAGCACACTAATATTAAGGATTGCCAGAGTGTCCTTGAATTGAACTCCTGAATCAATGAGAGTTTTGTCACTCTGGGAATGGAAACTTCCAAGGAGCTGGATAAACTGCTACTAGTTTTACTATATGGCATTTTTTTCTCTGAGTCAGCTCCTGAATATTTCACTGAGCCTAGTGTAACCAGAATTTCCAGTCTGGCTAGAATATCCCAGTATCCAGCAGATATGGTTTTGCTATTTTTCCGTATCACATGGAGGAAACAGGATATTCCTGCTCTCACCTTAAGCCCTGCATAAAAATGCAAGCTTTCGCAGCATGTGAGCAGGAGACGGGACTCTGGCACAGGGTTGTGATGCGATACAAGTCTTACATTTTACTGCAAACCAACAGGAACAGAGTATGTTCTGCAGTGCAATAAATATTGGTTAGTATGATGAGTCCGTAAAGCTTATATTCAATCAGGTACCCTGACATAGGCCTTAAACATAACACATGCTCTGCTTTCTTTATTCTGGTTTCTATGGCTGTATATACATCCTAGGAAAAAAATATAAATGCCTTCCACTAACAACAATAACTGTAGGTACAGTAGTATAAGCAGGGAACAGAAGTTCCTCCCTAGCTGCCTGAAATAGAACGAGTTTTCTCACTGCAAGTAGGAACTATCAAACTGTTCTTCTGTTGACTGACAATGCCAGCAGACATGCTCATCACTAAAATTTGATGACACTTTTGGAGGAAACATGTCTACTAACTCTACTAAATTTTAGCAGAATTAAGTACTCTAAATTTTGGTTAACTAAATTCTACTCGTTCAAGATCCCCCCTCTCCAATATAAACTACATATAATTAATAACAGAAGAAAAACAAGGGTGTAGTATCAAGGGGGGTTAATGTAGCTGGATCACAGCTACCCATCATGAAAACTGATAAAAATTAAAAATGTTTCAACTATTTGACAGAATGAGAGAGAAATCGTCGTTTAGACTTCTGTGAAATTAATTAACCACGTAGTTCTTAAACAAATAGTTCCTCGACTTAGTATTTCTCAAGGTCTTCTTGGTGACTAAGGTTGTAAACCTTTTGCCCAAACCTATAGACGCTGAAAAAGAATTCCATGCATGCCATCTTGTGGATGTCACAAGAACATCAACATTTGTTCTGAAAAGACAGATTCGTTCCAAAAAAAAAAAAAAAAAAAGGCGTAGGGAGGAGAGGAAAGAACACAAATATGTATGTCCTTAAATACGAACCTGCTGCATTATTCATTACTATCAGGAAGAAATAAGTTTTGGAAAATAAGGTTTTTTTGCTTTTGTTTCTTCTGCTTCGGCTGAAATAAACTAGTGGCCATGGGGTCACACTGTCAGCTGTTAATGGTCTGTCGTTAGTTAAGCAACTAGGCAATGACTTCAAGATTTGGTCTTAATATTCAAGACACTTCCGTTATGAAATACCACTTAAAACACTTTTTGTAACGGTATTTTCTACATGCTCAGAGACAGCAGAACAGAATAGATCTGGTAGTACATACTCAGGATATCTTTCTCTCCCACTTTTCCTGCTTACATATATTCTACCACCACTGTTACTCAGTAACAGCTACATATATGGTGATTGTCTAAGTCGGTCAAAGCTACTCAAAAGCTACTGAAGTAATGAATTTAAACATTTGCCTAAAAAAGATGGTGGGGAATTGAGATAAAAGAAACTGAAGAAGTTAAGTTTAAGGTACAATCGCTTTTAAAATTTGTTTTTGCCTTATCTAAAATAGCTTGTGACCTCAGCTTCCGTGAAGTGGTAACAGTCAGTGTTTTATAAGTATGACATATAAGTCAGTTTCTCAGAACAGGTCCCGTTTTGCAAAAGTTATTTACTTGGAATGCAATTAAATACTAGCACAAGTCATAGATGTTTACAAGCTTTTCCCCATTAAAAAATAGCTAACCAAATTAGAAGGAAGTCCTGAAATATTCTTGTCATCATGGCTAGGCTTCGCGAATGAAACCTGTATCAAACTGGTGAAATCAGCAACTGTGTTCTAGAAGGGGGAAAAGACTTCAAATTCACTTCAGGGATTTTGATGGTGTTTCTAGATACTTATGCGTTTAAACACAAATATGCTTATGTGCAGAACAGCAGTGCTGAATGAGACACTAGAACTCAAATGGCCTTATGTATCAGTGATACAAACAGACTGTCTGCTGGCAGGCTAGCTGCTCTGTAATTTACAAAGATTATAGACATTTTTCACACTTAATACTATTTTGAACTTAGAGAAACTCAAATTTATTTGAGCCAGATGAGGGCCATAGGAAGGAGTTTTAATCACCTAAATACATTAAAGAGCTTTATCAACATAAAAAGATAAAGAACAACTGGAGACAGGAATTGAAGGAAGGGAAATGCTCTGTTACCCTTCATTTTCCTTTAAGTTATATAGAGTGAACACAGGAAGAGCACTTCTGTCTTGGTGCTTTTTTTGTCCAAAGGAGATCCCTGCACTACCGGTGATAATGACAGAAAAGGAATGTGAGCATGATGGTAAATCAGAGGTGAGTAAAAATGTTTAGAGTTTTTGGTTTTGTTTCAGTTTGACCCTTTTTTTTCTTAAACAAGCAACTACAGTTGGTTACTACCATATAACAAAAAGTTCTGCTCTCAGAGTTTTCACAAATGTCTGCTGTGCACTGAAGCATCTGGCCTTTTCTAAACGAAAAGGCAAACCCAGAGTTACCAAGGGAGCGGCGATCCTTATCGCGTGGGCCCTGGGTGCACAGCCTTTCAGATGAGAGGGTCAGGATGTGGCAGCTGGTGCAGCAGTCACAGCTGCCACTGCTCAGTTTCCATGGCACGAAGCCGCAGGAGGGACCGGGCCCTGCTGTCCCCGGGGCGCGGAGCGTGAGAGTCCCGCGGGCAGGAGCGAAGGCCACGGCTGTTACCGAACACGGGACCGCGCCCGCCGCCCTCCACAGCGCCGACCCTCGCGCTCCGCCCGAGACCGCCTCCCGGGCGCCGGATACAGCGCACTGGGCATGCGGGGCGGACGGGCCCATTCCGGAGGGCGGGCAGGCCCCGCGGAGAGCCGTATGGATAGAAAGCAAGAGCGCCCCGCCCTATCCTCCCGTGCGGTTGGTAGCGCCCTGTGCGAAGGGGTAGCGGCGGAGCGGTGCGGCGGCGCTGGGCTGGCGGCTCTGCCCTGCGCCATGAGGCACCTGCCGTACTTCTGCCGCGGGGAGGTGGTGAAGGGCTTCGGCAGAGGCTCCAAGGAGTTGGGCATCCCCACCGGTGAGCGGGGCGGGGGCGGCACCTCCCGGGAAGGGCACGGGAGGGGTGTCCGCCTGGCTCGGCTGGGCCTGGCGGGGGGTCCGCACGGAGCCCTGGGAGCGCTCCCGCCGGCGAGAGCCCAGGCCGGGGGTTCTGCAGCCGGTCCCTGTCAGGCCCCGAGCGCAGCCGGACCCGCATCCGCACCGTGCTCCTGCCCGTCAGGGTGCGGGAGCGCCGTGACTAAGCTCGCCTCAGCCCAGGAGCCGCCCGGCTGCCCTGCACTGCTGCCTTATTGTCGTGACTTGGCTTCCCGAAAACAGCCCTGCCTTGTGCCGTGTCAGCCTTTCCCTGAGGCTTTTTCCCCCTCCTGCATTGCTTAGAGTCTTGCATTCTCCTTTTGTGTTATTCCCCGCCCCTCGGTCTGTTAAGAGGTTTCTCTGAACGATCTCTGTCTAGTCATGATGGTCTACAGGATGTAGATAAGTGATCACATGCACGGTGCTATGGCACCGTTCAGATAAATCTCAGAACAAGAAAGGGAGTAGGTATTGGGAATCGCTTTAAGGAGAAAAGTTCAGGGGGAATAAAGCAGAGGTTAAAACCGAGTAGGTGGGCTTCGCCTACAGCGAATATATTTGCCTATTCCTTATCTTTCTCAGTTGTCTGAATGCCTTAAACAGCCACTGAAGTCAGCAGTCATATTGCACTAATTGTAACAGCTGTGAAACTCTGCGAGACCATTCTCGTGGTGCTGAATTTCTGACAGGATTTCACGTTTTTTCCTTGATTGCTTATAAATGCTGTGTTGGTACTGTGGAACAGGGAAGGGGGGTCATTGTTTTTTAGCTTTGCTAAAATGTATATTTTAAATCAACTTCATATCTTGCATGAAGACATTTACCCACTTGGTAAATAGAAGTAGGATATTATTTTTGAGAGAATGTTAAATTCAATCAGAGGGGAATTTCATTTTGCTATAATTTTGTAGTTTTCAAAGAAAATCACAGAAATCCACAGATGTCTCCAAAAGGCAACTTGTACAAAATTGAGAAGTGGTTAAATAATAATCGCATTTATTCCTGCATATTTTATTTCATAGGTAAGTATTTTACTAACTAGTAAATAGTTCTAGGATGCTGCTTTATAGTGCAGAAGAAACTTAATTTTCATCTTTCACCATATTAAAGCTATGATAGTTATCCTAAAGGTGAAATGCATCCTGACTGGATATATGGCATGTTTGTTAATTATTATTGAAGAATAGAAAGTGAACTGTAAAATACAGCATGTGTAAAAGATGTCATCACCATGGCTAGGCTTCGCGAATGAAGATTTGGGAAGGACTCTACCCACATTTGCTACAAGCGCGCTCGTGACTAAAGAGACCAATGTGAGATAGATGTAATACCTCTGGTATTGCCACAGGGGCTGAATTTTATGAAGCTGTTTTATACTTTGCCAAATGGCATGTTGCATTATTCTCATGAATGCCGGCGTTACATTTATAAGTAGTACGTAGGCAGAGTTTGGCTTTTCAGTATTTGAAGATCCTGTTATGTCCTTGACTTACACATTCACTCCCATTTTACACTTTCTAAAATTTTTGCAGCTAACTTTTCTGAGCAAGTGGTTGAAAGCTTTCCACCTGATATCTCTACTGGTATATACTATGGATGGGCCTGTGTTGGAAATGGAGATGTACATAAAATGGTTTTGAGCATAGGATGGAACCCTTTCTACAGGAATACTAAGAAATCAGTGGTAAGAATTTTGCTTTGTGTGGGATTTTTATTGTAACACGAGCCAGATGTTGAATTTTAATAAGATAAGTAGAATTTAATTCATGAATGAGATCTAGGAATTTGCTCTTAGAAATGCATTTGGTATCTATATCATATTTATCTTCTATAAAGAATATACTCTCTCTATCCCCCAAGTATAGACATGTAGGTGATTAAAATTTATTTTCTTCTTTCTATTCCACCATTTCTTAATTATTTCTGAAATAAAAGTATAACACTACTTGAAATGAGGGTTGCTCGAGTTGCTGATAGCAAGTTAAGCATAAGTTGATAAATGCATTGAATTTACTGCTTATGAGAGCCCTAGCGTGAGCTGCAACATACTAGTAATCTATAGTTTTCTGCAGTGTATCTGCTTTTCAAATAAGAGATGTTGGAGCATCTTAATTTTTAATGATTTTTTTATTAATACTTCTCTTAAATTATGGAATCCAAACATGAGGTGGTGTGGCTTTATATACGAATAAATATTTGAAGGTGTGTAATAATAGGATGGAGAAGTTAAAATCTCGATCTGTGATTTTCTTCCTGTCAGGTGCTGGTGCTTTCCCTGAGTCTTGCAGAGCTCTGTTTTATTTATTGAAAACAATTTTGTTTGGGTGTGAATCTCTGCTATTAAGTGTTTGTCTTAGGCAAATGTATACTTTTAAAAATTTTTGCAGATAAGTTTCCTGAGCAAGTAGTTCAAAGCTTCTCATATGATAGCTCTGCTGGTATATGCTATGGGTCAGCCTACTTTGAAGAGGCAGATGTGAATAAAATGTTTTTGAGTGTGAGGTGGAACTGTGTTTCAACCTGCACTTGTTCTTGAATTTTATCATTAAATTCCAATGTGAACTAGTTGTAAAAGGTCACCTTAAGCCAACTGCTTCAATCAAAATCTTCATAGTTATTTGGATGCATCAACTTGATGTTGAAACATTAAGCTTTGTTTGGGATTTCCTGCCTTGGAAATATTACCTCTGAGAAGTGGTGAAGCATTTCTAGTGAGTAACATCTCTCTGGTTTGTTTTTTTTTCTCCCTTTTGGCTATCAGAATACTTTTTAAGTGAGTAGTTTTTTTAAATTTCATGCAAAATGCAATTCTTCGTGACATAAGCTAAAGCCCTAGTGTTTTAATCTTCCATTGTACATTCTAAACTAAATGTCCCTTTTATTGTTCTCTGTTGAGGAAAATTTGAATGATGGATATTAGGTCAACATGCTTACAGAGAGGGAAAGAAACTCTTAAGTTCATAATAAATGCCCACTTATTTCTCTTCCTTTAGGAAACACATATTATCCACACCTTCAAGGAAGACTTTTATGGAGAAATTCTTAGTATAGTCATAGTTGGATATATTCGACCGGAAAAAAACTTTGATTCCTTAGGTCAGTATTGGAGGTCTCCCTCGAACTAATCTCTTTTATGTCTTACTCATGCAAGTTCTATGTCTTCCCTGTCTTTCCTTCTGTTATGAGATGTTTTATCTATTAACCTTTGAAATTTCAGTAAAACGTTTTCATTATCTAAAAAACCCAAAACCATACCCCCACATCTTCCACTAGAAAACTATTTTTCAGTCACTTGTCTGTGGAGTAATTTAAAATCAAGGACTTGTTGCAGAAGCATCAGTTGAATGTGTTCATTTCTCTTTTAAATGCAGTAGTATTTCAATACTGGTAGTATTTCAATACTATTAGTATTGAAACAGAACTGCTAAAGTCTTTTGGAAAAGCAAGAGAGTAGTGCTTGTAAGAAGTAAAAATGCAACTCTGTCATGTTCGAAAACCCAAAGAACTCTGCCTTTAGACCTCGTAGTTATATTCTACTTCTGTGATTGTTTTTTGATATTTTGTGGTACCCCATGTTTTCACTTGATTCTGTGTTCAAAATTCAGACCAACTTTTAAATACCCATATTCTTATTTTTTTCAGAGGCGCTCATTTCAGCAATTCAGGAAGACATTGAAGAAGCAAAAAGACAGCTAGATTTAGCAGAACATCTTAAACTCAAAGAAGATAACTTCTTTCATCTGCCAGAAGGCAAAATAGTAAACAACCACTGAGAAAACCAATACAGTTTTTTATTTGTTTGTTTGTTTGAACTTCTTTTTCTTATTTTCTTTCCCTGTCATGGAGCCTTTACATTTGCACTGCTTTCATAGGTGCTTTTTTGTCATATGTCTGTTAGGTAACTGAGATTAAAACCAATCATATAAGATGATTTCAGTTTTCTTTGGTTAATTCAACATTCACCCAGTCATGCAAAAGGACTAGAAGGCTGTAATAGGTCCTTACAGATAAATTCTGTATCCTAAAGTTGCCAGTTGTTCAGAAAGTGGAGTATATTCAGAACATGACCAAAGTTAATTGTAAACCTAGGGTATGGATAGTTCAGTTAATGAAGAATGTCTGTTTTTAACATAGAGAATGTTATTCCAGCTTCTTCTCTGTTTTATGTCATTTTTAGATCTGGATTTTAGCTTAGGAAATTTTGCTGTTGATTGAGTCAGAAATTTCCTGTGGTTAGATATGATCAGGTAACAATAGCAAGATTAATTCTCTATAGGTCTTATTTTTTATATACTACATTGCTGTCATAGTTTAAGCTCTTACTTTAATTGAAATTATTTATTTTAAGTTTATTTGAAATGGAGGAAATCACTGTTGCTCATTATGTTACTGGAATCTGAGCTGTACTTTTTCATAGTTGCTTGTACATATGATAGCACATGACCTGTGTAGTTTACTTCTGGGGGGTGTTTCACTTAATTTCAGGAAATGAATGTGAAAGTCGATAAACTGTAAAAAAGTTCAGGGGCAAAAGATGCAGGAACAATATAACAAGATTTCTGCTCATTGGGCCTTAAGGGAAAATAGGTAGTGAGAGGCAAATCTGCATTTTATATGCTGCTGGTATTTGTTATGAGAAAATGGGGAAAATCTTGAGGTCTTTCTCTGCACTGTCAATAAAATGGTCTGACTTCAAGGCTGGCATTATTGTAAGGCACAGAAAAATCTCACTAATGCTCTGCACTAAGTGCAGGTAAGAGCCAAAGTTTTGGCTGACCAAGTAGACAAGTACACAAATGAAAGCCATTGGGGATTCATTGCATAATATGTCAACGCTGTAGTGGATATTCGTTATTTATTACAAGTAGTTGCAGACAGTGCTACTCTGAAATGCAGGAATACAAATGGGGATTTGACTAGATCTCAGAAGCTCCCTTCCAACCCTGACTATTCTGTGATAGGTAAATGGAGGGAGTACTATCAGAATTGATAGTAATTTGGAAAATATTTCTCCAAGTATGTAATGTGTGATGCCAAATCTACTCTTGTTTTTCTCTGATAAATGGAACGGAAGCAAGTAAGCTGCAGTGACTTTGTCACGACCATAGTCTTTTGACATCTGGCTGTGATGTGTCTGAAACATATTCTGAAATTCTAAATGATTCTGTGAATGTGTCTCGGCTGTGGTTTTTTGAACTACCATGTACAGTATGGAATGCACAATTTCTGTAGTGAAATTTAATGAATTTATTCCTTGTCCTGTCCTATTCTATCCTATTACGGTCTTATCCTAGTATGGTCTTAAGCTCTGCCAGGGAAAATTTAAGTTCGATATTAGGAAGAAATTCTTTACAGAGAGGGTAATCAGGCATTGGAATGGGCTGCCCAGGGAGGTGGTGGATTCACTGTCCCTGGAGATTTTTAAGATGAAACTGGATGTGGCACTTAGTGCCGTGGTCTAGTAACCACAGCAGTGTTGGATCAAGGGTTGGACTTGATATCTCGGAGGTCTTTTCCAACCCAGTTGATTCTATGATTCTATTTGAATCCTACTTTTCACTCTTGAGGTTTAAGAGAGTTTTGACAAGGTAGCTGTTTGGGTCTTTGTGGCGGGTGCTGTCAGGATGATAGTTTCACTACATATTGTTTTAAATTTTAGCCAGTGTCCTGGGCTATTGCTAGGGAAGAGGTCAAGAGGTCTTAAGGAAGTCAAGGACTTGTGTTTGTTCTTTAGGACTCCAGGAGAAACTTGATTTCATTTAAATAAATTGTCCACCAGTGCTGGTGATTGCAGAGTTGATAGATTCAGTACAGAATTGGGGGAGAGGGACATGGGACAACAGTTATCAGCAGTTAGATATACTTTCTTTTAAAGGATAATGGAGAGGATTTAGTGGACTTCTACTATATAATGTGTTGGAAACTGTATTTCCAAAAAGTCTGTAAAAGAATTGTCTTACAACGGTGATGGTTGGAATTTTTTACATTTTAAAATGGAGGGATGAAGGGAGAATTATTTTTTTTGTGCAAAGACTTTATGCATTCTTCAGATTGTATTAATGTTAAAATCATATATTTTACTACTCTTTTTAGAGAACAAAAGCCACACTAGTCAACGAAGTGTGTTGTCAAGAATAGATTGTTGTTCATTGTAGTACTATAGTTAAACACTCATAGCTGCCTTTAAAATTCTTTTTTTCAGTAATGTCATGTGTCAGTTGTGGAAACCATGGTGCCTTAAGCTGGTTGTCTGAATAATACTCTTCTGTATCTGCTAATAAATGCTACTATCAAAAATTGAATTCACCATTTGGTTATAGAACTACTGTGCTATGGATAGAGAACAGTGGCAAGGGGAAAACTTGAAAGACTTGGGTTGCTCTCAAATCCTAGCTAAGATGTCATATATGGATACACTGAACTAATAAACTGCTCTTTATGTGTTTGTCTTCAAATTCGAGAAAATGTTATTACATTCATTTGGCTAAGTGTACCTGTCCATATTATTTAAGAGAAAATGTTATTGCTTAAGCTCAATGCATAATTCCTAGCACAATATAAAATTTATGAAGGGTTATATTTTTGTATTGTGTACAAATAATTGTATTTATTTTGGTTGATGTTACTACACTGTACCAATTACTAAAGGAACTGTAATTGACAAAATTATCCTTCTTGTCTTGGATTTCCTTTCCTTTGCCATTCCTTGCAGTGTTAGTGGTCTGGGTTTTATGCAAAGCTTTGTAGGGGTGACTGCCTAAAATGCTGAACTGATGGAAGAGTAATGGGATATTGTTCAACCTTCTTATTGTTTTTGAAAACTGGCCCCACTCTGGGGACTTCAGTGCCTCAGTCTGAGCTTGCAGGAGCTAGAGCCTTAGAATTCACAGCCTGAAACCCCTGAATTGGTTTGTCTATACATTTTCTTTCAGAGCTTTTTCAAAAGCTGCTCGTTCCTTTTAGGATTCAGATGGAAGGAGCTGCATTCTTCTATGTTCTACTTCAACTGTCAAACATTCATCAAAGATTTATCTGCTGCTTCTGAAGGAGAGTCAAACTTGTATCTTAAAACACATTATGATGGCTCTGGCCACTTTTGGAAAAAAAATTCTCATACTTCCGCACTTGGCAACTGCTTATATGTAAACCTTTATATAACCTCTTTGTAGCATTGCTGAAGTTACATCAAGAAAGAGTGTAACACTTTGGGGTGGTATATGTGATAAGGATCGCTTTTATTATGTCACGTGGATTTTTCAGTGTAGACTGGTATCTGTCAGAAAACATGCTTTTGACAACAGACTGCCCATACTGGAGATATGGATTTAAGAGTGAGAAATCCCCAAGCACCTGTATTGTTCAGGATTTTTCTATAGCACTCAGTACTGTAACTTTCAAGCATCTAGATTTTTCTATTAGTTTTCTTCTGGAACAAAAACAATATTAAAACACTTACAATGTACTTCACTTCCTTTTTAGCAAAACCTAAGAATAGTGTTATGGAAGAGGAAATTTTTTTCCTATATGCATACACTCCATTGGAAGGAGAAAGTATGAAGAACTGATAGCTTACACTTCCTTTTGAAATCAAACTACTGGATTACATGAGAAGTGACTGGATGGTAAAACTGTGCAGGAGTTTTGAATTTGCCTGGCCATTTTGAAAGAGCATTATTAATAAGAGGTAATTGTCTAGGAGGAAAAAAAATGCAACTAGTTAAGTAAGAGCTTGGGGCTTGGGAAACTCCCAAGAATAAATGAGAATAGCAAAGAAAGGGTTACAGGGTGTGGAAAGGAGAAAACAGAAGAAGGTTCAAGTGCCTGTCTTTGGGTTTCTAAATGTATTTATTTTCTTCAGCACATCTTTCTTGGGATGGTGGCTGGAAGAAAGTGAGAGGATAGAGAGAAGCGTTGTGGTAAAGGATTTGTGGATTTGAATTTCTTTAGGTATTTTTTCAGGACAGTGTAAAAAGCATAGACACAGTAAGTCCATAAAGTAGAAAGCAGTATCTCAAATTCGTTTGTGCTGAGTTTTGTGTGTATTTACTATTGGTTTCCTTCACTGTACTGTTTTCTGTGAACTTTCTCCAGAGGTGTTCATGACTAATGAACGATTCCCTCTGAGTCAGTAGCTCTTGGAAAAATAGCCTTTTATAAAATATACAACTCTCGGTCTCTCTGTGCACTCTCAGCAGGCAGTTGTAATTGGCAACACCATGAAACTGATAGGACTCTGTAGGTATCTAGTTTGGGCGTTCCTAACCACTATTTTTAAAATGCCACTTAAATAAAAAATCTTTCTCACAGTTCTGTTCCTCATACTGGGTCCTTCTAATATTATCTGTCAGTTAGTTGTTGCTCTCTCAAGAAGACTCCTTCAAGGCAATTTTCTGCCATCTTGTAAAACATGGATATTTTCATCCTACCCATATGGCACAAAGTCATGCAGTCTTCCTGCTGCATCTCGGGAGCAAGCTTCTCATCTGAGCTGTCATTGGAATCCTCCCTAAAGCACTGCTTTTCTGGAAGAAAACAAGATACTGGTATGGCTTCTTTCTTGCAGCTGATACGAAACATGTTTGTAATGTTATGTCCAAACCAAAAGAAGACCTCTGGAAAGAACTGACATTTGAATTCAGAGCTCTTCATTTTTTGAGTGCATACTCAGAAATGTAATTTTATTCCAGTCTTACTTGCACTGGCAAGCCAAACTATATTATGAAACAGATTTTATTTTTGAATGCTTTTTTATTATATGGGGGGGTGATTTATTTTCTGTTGTTTGTTTGTTTTCTGGGTTTTTGTTTGGGGTTTCTTGTGTGTGTGTGGAGGGTTTTTTAAATATTGAGAGTTAGTATATCTCCGTATATACGAAAGTTTTAGTAAAATGATTATGTTAGTCTGAGCACTCGTAAACAAAAAAAAAAAAAACCACATCCATTTCTTGTAAGGATTTAAAACTGCTTAGCTGTACCTTGGATTAAGTCTTTGGGATTTGGTAAGAGTCAGGTTATATAAACTGCTAACAGTAATAAAGCATAATGTTAATCCAGACAAGGGTAGGATAGCAGGAGATCACAAATAGTCTTTTTCAACATCACCATTTCAATTTATTTTTCATTCGGTTTGTTTCATCTTTTGTTTTCCCTTGAGAACTCTTCCTGATAAGAGCTTAAGTTGAAGTGACAGATCAGATGTGCCTTTCCAAGTAACCGTATTATTATGTTGCTTTTGATAAATATAAACCCTTATTTTGACCTTTTTAATCTGTCACGTGCTTTTGTATTTCTTCGTTACTGAAGGTGCAGTGATTAAGTCCTAAGTGGATTCCACAGAATTCTTTAAAATTTACAGGGGAACCATGAGGTCTTTAGGAGTATATGACACAAAAAAAATCCGCTAAGGATTTATGGCATAAAAATTAGTCTTTCTTGCATTGAATTCCTTTGTAGAGATAAATGATCAACAGCTCTAGAGCTGTTTATTATTGGAAATCTGAAGGAACTATTGTAAGGCTCCTTCTACTCTGAGCCATCTGAACATACTGACAGAAAATAACAGCACTTTTTTGATGGTTTTGTGCAATGTCGTTGTTTTGCAGCAAGGGGCCATAAAAAGCATCCTGTTCTGTAGAATTATGTATTTAGGTAATGCAAAAAATATGACATTGTTGTGCCCGTTTAAAGTAAATTACTG